GGTACAGCCGCAACAAGCAAATCAAAATTAAATACAAAAGCTTATAATTCAACATTTATCTCCCCATACTGAAGCAAAAAGGCGCAGCATAGAGAACCTCATTTTTATGAAAACTTGATAGCATCACAAATGAAGTACACACAGACACATATGTATCTATACACACACATACATGATACATTGGAACATATAGTAATAATATTAATAATAATAATAATACTATGTATGGACATTCAGATTTCAGACATGGGTCTCAATTGCAGAATAAAGTGGAATTATACCCACAAAGAAAACAAGGAGTGATAAATGGGACAGATAGAGAGTAGTAAAGGGGAAGGAATGTCTTTCAAAGTTTCAAACCAGAAAACAGGGAAAATACAAGGATTCCTTTGAATAGTCAATAAAAACAAAGTCCATCTGGTCTTCAATCAACAAAAGGGGTCATTGAAAAAGTGGGAATGATACTACAGATATCCCTTTTTACTCTGATTTTGACTTGACACGAATTTTAAGAAAGTGAAATTTTATGTTTAGGATTTGTTTAGAGGGGAGAAGACAAATATCAACCAAGTCATTTCCTTAACAGAAAAGAGTAGAATATTTAAGAATTGACTGAAAAAATGAGAATGTAGATTGAAAAGGGACAGAAGAAATATGTTAAAAATGAGAATTGTTGCATCAATACAAAATAACAAATTTTGGTAAAATAGATTTCTGAAGCGGAAGTATTAGCAATGGAGTACTATGTACCATCCTCCGTTCCATAAAAGTTGCAACAGTTTGACTTTCACGTTTGCCAACGCACAACTTTGACTGTAATTATATTTATTTACGTATCAGTAAACGTTAAAAAAAGTTAATATATTGGAAATTTACATTAATACAAATTTATTATTATTTTATACATAATATTTTTATTATATATTATTAGAAAATCGTAGTCAAAGTAAGGTGTGTGAATAGTGCAGAAATTCCAATGTTGCAACTTTTATGGAACGGAGGAAGTATAAGATAGTTTTTGTCTGAGCGAATAAAATACGTATTAGTAAACCAATATAAGGGATGATTAATTAAGTATTTATTTTGAAATCGATTAAGTCCATCAAATCAAAAGTAAACAGACGATGCACCAAATCAAACGGATTAATAAAACAAAAAAACTTCCTAAGTAAGACAAAAAGGTAACAAAGTATTTGATCATAGAAAAACAGGATCATTGATTAAATAAAAATACATAATTAAAAAGAGAAGGTTATAAAAAAAGAAATGTAGAGATGGATGATATATTATATGCTTTTGACGTATTCAGGTAAATTACTCTAATAAAAATTAAAACCTATAAGCAGTTGAGAAATGCGCCTAAACTTGCAATGAAGATCCAATTTGGCATCCTGCTAATAATAATAAGCTAACTATATATTATACTAATTGCAAAGTTTCACCTATGAGATAACTGGAGATCCAAATGACAACTCCATGAATGCAACAGAATAAATATGAATATAAGGAAAGTGGGATTAAAAATAAACAATTTTATGGAAAAGTAAAAAACTAAATAATTATAAAAAAAACAAAGAATGATCAGTGTCTTACCATGAAGAAGCCAAAAAAGGCTGCCATTGGGCATGTAATCATAGACAAGCAGCTTCTCATCTCTGGCAAAATAGTAAGCCTTCAAGTTAACCAAATTAGTATGCCTTAATCTTCCTAATACCTCCATATGTTGCTCAAATTCCTTCCTTCCCCCAAAAACCATTTCCTTCAATCTCTTCACAGCCACCACACTGCCGTCGTCTAGCACCGCCTTATACGCTGTTCCGAATCCACCCTTCCCGAGCATCTCTGCTGAAGCTCTGAGCAAGTCCTCCAGCTCGAACCGCTTTGCCCCGTCGAAGAACACCATTTTCCCTCTGTCAAATCCCCCACCTGACTGGGAGGAAATAGCATGGTATGGACTTGATGAGTAGACCATTTTTTCTCCTTCAAGGATTTGTGAGCTCCTTTTTCTTGTATTGATGTAACAGTATACGAAGAAGGAGACCAATACAATGAGTAAGATGTCGCCTATTATTATGGCTACTATTATCACCAGCTTCCTGATGTTGCTAGCTGAGCTTCTATGGCGGCTCTTCCCAGGTTTCATGGGCATATCGGTTGCTGCAGGCATTGAGCTTGGGGAGGAGGCTACCACTGTTGTCCCGGGGTTCAAGGGCAAAGGAGACCCGGACATTGCCTCACCAGGTCGGGCTGGATCTTTCTGGATGGTGTCCTTGCATTTCGGCAAGGGAGAGCCACAGAGAAGAAGGGAGTTGTGGGCAAATGCGGATTCCGGGTGACCCGATAGAGAAGCGGGTATTTGCCCGACCAGCCTGTTTCCCGAAACATTGAAGTCCTGTAGGTTAGGGATGTCAATGCCGGGAATCAGACCCGAGAACCCGTTTTCCTCGAGCCTCAGAGTGAGCAGTGAAGTCAAATTATTCACACTGGCCGGAATCTCACCGGAGAAATTGTTATGCGACAGATCAAGCCTGTACAGCTTGAGCAACGACGTAAGAGTCTCGGGAAACTCGCCGGAGAGCTCATTGCGAGAAAGGAACAAGAGCTTCAACGAGGGGAGATTGGAAAGGTCCGGGAGAGGACCCGAGAAATGGTTCTTCTTAAGGCTGAGAATTCGGAGCTGGGTCAGGGAAGTGAGCTGTTGAAACGAGCCATGGAGGTCGAAACCTTCGAGGACGAGCCGGGAAACGCGGTTCTTGAAGCAAGAAACTCCGGTCCACCGACAGACGCCGTCGGCGCTGGAGGTATTCCAATCCCACAGCCTGTTAGAAGCGTCGGCGGTGGCTTTGAATGACAACAATGGGAGAGTGTCTGGGTTTGAGGAAGCTGGAAGGATATGGGGAAGAATTGTTAGGAAGAGAGAGAGAAGTAAATGGGATGGCGTCCCCTGTCTCGCCATTGTAGGGTCTGAAGCGATAAGGTGGAGTGGGAAGTGAAGAGTATATAGACAGACCCCTGCGGGGTTCGGAACAAAACGGCAGGTTCCCCGAGGGGAACGGAGCCGTACTGAAACGGTTTTAACATGAGCCGCCTGGAATGTAGTGTTTACTTTGGTTTGTCCCATATTTCTTTGGGAAAAAAAGAAAATGTGATGCTTATTTCGAGTTAAATCCCAAAAAAGACATGTAAAATGAGACTAAGGAGTTTAATTTTATACACTTAGCCACTTAGGCTATTAGCGATGGAGGGGTGAATTCCCAAATGTAAGGTTTTCGTGCAAGATATGGTCACTCAAGCCATTTTTTGTATTAGAAGGTCCTAGACTCCTGGAGTGGGTTGGGGAAACCTGAAGAGTGCAATTCTGTTCACCCTCATCAAAGATGGTGATGTTCACCCCCACTCCCTAATTGGTTGCCATGTGGCTTCTCATCCCCTTTTTTTCTTTAAATCAATTTAATTTTTTATTTATTGTTCAAATTTTATAGAAAAATATATCAGATTTAATAACTTTTTAAGATCTTTCCAAATATTGAATATAAAAAAGTTGAACAAAAAAATCGCATTTTATAAATATTAATTTCTAAGTGGATTTTTTTTAATTTTTTATATGCAATATTGGTACCATATGAAAGATCTTAAAAATTTAAAATTTTGATATATCTTTTTAAAAAATTGGATTAAAAATTAAAAAATTAAAATAATTGCCAAATAATTTAGAATTGCCTTAACACATGGCAAGCAATTGGGGTGGGGTGAACATCACCCTCTTTGACGAGGGTGAACAAAATTGCACTCAAATCGGAATGTAAGACTCTTGTTCACTCCAAGAGAGAGAGGATTTGGCAGCACGAGTTGATGTGCAACGAAGCTTAGAGGTAGATTCCATTTATAACAACTATCACAACTTTTTTATATCAAAATTGATATAAAATTGTGATCTTTCATATCACACCAATATTTCGTATATAAAGCTTAAAGAAATATGAAATTTCAAGTATTTGAAATTTTCATGCACAACATTTTTTTAAATATATGTGAAAGCTAAAATTTAGATGCAATGCTTTTTTACATTTTTCTATAATTTTTTAATAAAATTAGTTTAAAGTTATAAGAAAAAAATCAAACTCCAAATTTATTTATTTTTGCATTGAAATGATTTACTCTTGAAATAATAATAATTCATGAAAAGAATTGGCAAAAGAATAATGTATAATAATATAAGTAAGCATTTCATTGAAAAAAATTAGTTCTGAGTGAATATGTTGACAATGCTGGGTTGCAGAGAAAAATTGAATTGAATGAATGAATACGTATAAACTGGTGGGAGATTACATTTATTGATGGACTGTGTTGCGGTTAGCCTCAGGTGATTATAATAATAACTTTAATTATTATGATCATCAAGTCTAAGAGTCGTTTAGTAAACACCAAAATCGGTTGATTCTGTTAAAATTTATGAAATTCTTATTGAAGTGATTATGCTGATTTATGAAAAAATTACATTTAAAATATATTCGATTAATAAAATAAAGAAAAAAAATTATGTAAAATAGATAAAATGATTCTCTAGATTAACTTCAGTCAATACAATCAGAAAAGTAATTTCAACCTTACTTTTCCTTATCCTTCTATATACAAAACGAAGTGAGAAAGGCAGCCACTTTCCCGCCCAAACGTTCGGGTCAAAAAACAGGTCAAATTTATGAAGTCCGAATCTGCAAGTGGGTCCACACCTTTTTTAATTTCATAGTATGAAAACTTTTAATTTGTTTAAACCAATGAAAGATTCACCAATTGAAGAGTAAATATTTTTGAAGTCCTGCATTGGTCAAACAAAGTATTTTGGTGATTGAGCATTTAATAAGGTGGTTGGGGTTGAGCATTTAATGAGGTCGTTGGATGTTTAAGTTTATGTATATTATTTCTCTTTAAATAGACGACATGAGAAAGCACAAACCACACTCCCCTCACTCACCATGGCAACAAACAGAGTTTCTGCAAATGAAAATCCCAGAACATTGTACTCAATGATAAGAGACGTTGATCACACCAGATTAACGTGGGCACTAAAAGTCCGAGTTGTAAGGGTCGTTGAGATGCTGGCACAGTCTAAAGGAGGGCAAAGAATGGAGGTTGGTTTTCACCACGAAGAGGTAGCCTATCCTTTTACAGGAACTATGCACTTTGATTTTCATTAAATGTTATGTTGACAAGTTTTTTTATGGTCAATGTAGGGGGACAAGATACACGCAGTTATTAAGAGACCCTTCATGCATCTGTATAAATCAAAATTGCTTGAAAACCAATGCTTCAGGATAAAAAAAACTTTTGGTGCTAGACAGCTATTATACGTACAAAACAACTTCGCACCCATACATTTTGGATTTTATTAAAAAACAATTGTTTTCGACCACCCTTCAGAAAATTTTCTGAATTTCGTATACGACTTTCACCAGTTCAACATGCTGCAGAGCCTAAGGGTTGTAGACGATAAACGGCTAATAGGTACTATACAAAATTTAAATCATTCACAGCTGTTTTTGGTACTTTTTTTACTACATTCAATGAACTAATGTATACACTTGCACCTTAATCTTATGGAAAATGTAATTGGAAAAATTGTGGGCAAAACTCCTCCTCAAACGCATGTGATTAATGGCAAACAAGATCGTCTCATAGAACTGACTTCGGAGGATCACGAGTGAGTGAAAGTCGTTAACTCATTCATTTTAAACTTAAAGTTTAAGGGTATGAGAGGTTTAATCTAAATTTCTTATACATGGGTAACCGTATCAAATGCATCCTATGGAACAACTATTGCAAAGAATTCTCTGACTACTACACAGAGCACAAGAATGAAGCTATATATATCATTCTGCAGATGGTTAGACCTAAGCGTTACCGATGTATACTTTCTCAAATAAGTTTCTTCATAAGTTTCCATCAAAACAGATATAGTTGTTACGTTTTTTAAATTGACAACACAGGCTCAGTGTTCGTGTCAACTTCATATGACATATCAAAGTTGATCATGAACGGAACATCGCCTGAGTTTGATGACTTCAAGGCACAGTACGTACCAAATGCAAGACATGCTAGATAATCTGACCACTAGGAATGCAAACAACTAATTCATGACTTAACTTGACAGATTTGGACCTGAAAATGAAGATACAACTACTCTGACCACGTTCACAGGGAACAACATAGGCCATGACATGGAAGAAGTGTTGAGAGGAAACACAAAGATAACAAGTAAATATAGATCTCAAAACCATGTTTTGTTGATCTGTTGCCTAACACATGATGGTACCTATTGGCTCCTGGGAGATATTGTTTCTATTGACAACTACAGAGAGTGGTGTTATCTGAACTGCCCTACATGCAACAAAAAACTGCAGCCTGACGATGACAGGTTTAAGTGCATCAATTGCAACATTTCTCTTTCAGGAGGAACCTTAAGGTACTAAGTTTTAAATGATTACTTTAATTTATTAATAAGGTAAACCTAAAAACACTAAGAATTCCTCTCTAAAATTTGCATAATGGTGCAGGTATAAAGTGACAGTCTGCATCATGGATGACTCAGGACACACTTCATCTACCCTTTGGGATAGAGAATGCATTGAAGTGATTGGAAAAACAGCAGTTACTCTCAGAAAGGAAGTTGAAAAGGTTCACTGGACCTGTTTTTTAAAACTTTTCTAAATATTTTCAATTAAAGTGCTTAAAAATGGTTTTGTATCACAATATTTCAGAAAACAGGAGATGTGATGCACTTTCCGGAGGATATCGAAGCACTAATATATCAGAAGGCACTCTTCAAAGTGCAGGTCAAAACCAGAGCAGAAAGTTCCTCCTATCAAGGACCGCTTTCTTATGGGGTTGTCGCAATGATTAGGGATCCTAAACTTTTGGCGCTCTATGCTAAGGCACCAGAACAAGAACCAGGATTGGAAAATTTATCAGAAGTGGAAAAGGTTTCAAGCACTTTGAAGTTTGATTTTGTTTTGTGATCTAAAAACATTCTGACTTTGTTGTTTATAATAGAGTGGTTTTGATGCAAATGATGACTTGGAAGTTGCAACTGACATCAATATAAAAGAAGGCCATTCTGAAGACAAGGTAAGGATGTCATTTACTTTGGACAAGCAAAGACGGAAGTGACAAGTTCAACTAACCTTTGAAAGATTTTTTTAATATAGGCTTTTGTGACAGAAGATGAGGATGCAGTGACACCTACTCAAGTTCAGGAAGTTGAGATTGGATTGGAGTAGATGGTATGAAATTTTATTGTATATTCAATATAAATTTATAAAAAACATTTGCCCAACTAAACTTAATGCATTACATGAATCAGGACAATGGTATGGTCCTGGAGGAAGGTATCGTACCAGCTAAAGGATAAGGAGTGATGATAAAAGGAAATGAACAACTAAATAGGAACCTACTCGATCAGTTTTCAGCAAACATCAACACCAAAAAGAGAAGGACCCGAGTTAAGCAGGAGAAGCCATAAATAAGGAAGACTGAAATGTAACTGGCATATGTGCTAGATGGAACTAGATGGAATTTTTTTCCTAAAATCATTTTGCTACTTAAACTCTATTTTGCTAAACTTATGCCTTCGGTCTGTAATATTAACTCCATTTTGCTAAACTTTGTGCTACGGGCCTGTAATATTTAAACTTAGGATTGTTATGATTTTGGAAATGGTTTTGGTATATCCGTTTGTCATGTCTATTGTGTGCAGGAAAGGAGAATTCTTATTTGGATGCATGCCTTGTGTTGTCATGAGAATGCATTGCCTTGCAACTATGGAAGGCCACCCATACAAACCACCAAGAATATGGAAGTGCAACGTCTACTTGAAGCAGCAAATAATGTCATTTGTAATAAAGGGCATTGTTTTTTAAGGCCCTATGAAATTGTAACTGATGGATAGTGTACCCGGGGGGTAGCTTATCCGAGGGGTTATTACGGGGAGTAACAAGAGAGAAGTCAGAGCAAGTAATTATAGAGAGAGAAAGTGTATTATAAATGTGGAGCGTTTTCAGCGTTTATGACTTGGTTACAAATGGGGAAAAGGGGTGCTATTTATAGTAGCAATAAATGCCGGACAGGGACACGTGTCAAGCGTCCATTGGCCGAGAGGTCACCTCATCTGGTTGGCGCTGGCAACCGCATGTGGCTGCATTTAATGCGGCTGTTGGATGGGACGTTGTACAGGGTACGGTGATCTGTACGCATGTGGCGCGGATATCCTGTCGGGGAAGGTGCCCTCGGCTGTAGAGGACTAGCCGAGGGCTCTGAGTACCGAGGACCCCTTTGGTGCCGAGGGCTCCAGGTGCCGAGGGCTACTGTTTTCTGCCGTTTTTCCCAGTTTCTTAGTTTGCTTGAGAAACCCGTTCTGTGAGAGTTTAGAGCCTTCGGCCAGGGGGCGAAGGCACCCCTGATGCGCCTTGCGGGCTGCTTGGTACTCTGGGCGCTGTGATTTGGGCCCGTTGGGCCTTCTGGGCCTGTTGGGCCTTTACTGGAGTAGTAGGAGTCTGTGGGCCGGGTGTTCCCGGGCCATATACTCCATCAGGAGTCCCTCACTCCTTTTGCCGAAAGGTACTTGAGGGAAAAGGAGTAATTTGTGTTTGTCCCCTGCCGTTGTTCCGTTGTAATTTCTGAGGTTGGTTTGTTGCTTGCGTGTCCCTGCCGAAGGCAGTCCCTCAGTTACCCACATGTCGGGACTTGAGGGCTTGCTTTGCCGTTTGTTGGAATTTAATGATTTTCCCGACGGGGTCCTCCAGTCCCCCACTCCTTGAGGCACTTGTAAAGTGGTGAAAAGGAGTAGAGTAGTTGCGTTGTTGTTGTGGGCCGAAGGCTGACGCTTTTCATTTCATTTTGGGGGGATGCCTCATTAAAAACATCATTAGGGAAAACCCTGTGGGAAAAAATCCTGATGAGGGAAAACGAGTGCACCGAATTCCCCCAACGATGAATCGAAAATGTGAAACCTTGGTCAAAAATGGAGAATAACGGTAATGCCGAAGGCTCTCCTTTTTCTGAGGGCTCATGTGTTGATTAGCCGAAGGCTTGCTGTTGGTGTCCTGGGGGGTGCCGAAGGGGGGCCCTCAATCTGGGGATCGAGGGCGCGATGGATGAGGGCAGTAGTTGAATTGTCACCGGGGGGGTCCCCTGCTTGTTGATTAGTTGGTGATGGGGATATCTGGGGGCTCCCATTACCTGTGTGCCGTAGGCTATCCGTCAGTGAGGCATACTCCCCGGGGGCTATTCGGCCCTTACAGTGCTGAGGGGGAATCCCCGAGGGGTGGCCTGATATGAAGCCTTGGGCTTCTGAAGGAGTGATGCCGAAGGCGTCTGTTATGTACTGTGTGGGGCACAAACCGTGGGCGTCTCTGGGTAAGCGTACCCGGAGGCCCTCCTTGATGAAGTGGAGTGAAGTAAGAAAATCCGGGGGCTCCCAGAATATAGCCGTTGGAAATATAGCCGTTGGAATATGTAACGTCAGGTTATAGCCGTTGGGGGGGTACACGTGGAGTGTAGTCGTTGGCTGCTCGTGGGCGGGCGTCACCGGTTGGGTGAATCGACGGTACGTAATGATGGCTTTGGCCGTTGGGGGCCCGGATCTCGGCCCAAGCCCGGATCCCAGCGCCTATAAATACCCCAAGCCAATGCCATTCCTTCTTTACGCATCCAACATCCTTAGCGAAGCTCTGCCAAAATTTCTAGAGAGAGAAACTCAAACCTTCGGTCGAATCCGCTGCTTTCAAAGGTCAGTCCCTCCTTCTTCAAAGTTCTTAGTAAGTCTCGTCCAGTGGCCTTAGATTAGGTGCTAGAGCCTGTAGAAAGCTTTCGGAATCTTAGGCACATTTCGTGATAAAAATGTCGTCCGAGAGTGATTCCCAAAACATGTCGAGGGACCCTTTGGTTGGTGAGGAGCATGTTTCTGATGCGGAGTCCGTGAGCGAGCCCTCGGTTGGTGATGATGCCGCCCTGGCCCGGGAGGTCCAGAAGGAACTTATTGCTGAGGTCGAAGCCGAGGGCTTCGAGCAAGAGTGTGAGGATGAAGACCTAGCCCTCGCATGGCAAGTAGCGGAGGACGAGGCACAAAATGAGAGTACGAAGGTTACAGTTGTTGTTCTCGCCCCCCCCCCCCCCCCCCCCCCCGGGGGGGGGGGGGGTTCTGGGGAAGCAAGTAGCTCGAGGCCGCTAGATCCGACACCTTTGAGGGCGATCTCCGGGTTGAAGAAGAAGAAGGCGAAGGCCGCTACCAAAAAGAAGGAGAGGGCTGTTGATCAAGGAAGGCCAGTGGACATGCCCGAGGGGTACAATTGGTTGAACACCGAGGCCCTCAAGATTAAGTCGAAAGCCGATAGGGCAGATCTGTACGTTACTCAACTGCACGTGGGGCCCTCGGCCGAAGTGGTGGAGCCGGGTCCTGACGACGTGTTGTCCAGAGCGCCCGAGGGGTGTATCGCTGTCCACATCCTCTCGGTTTCTATGGGACTTAGGTTCCCTCTGCACCCGTTCCTTCGGGAGTACCTGAGGTTTGTTGGTTTGGTCCCCTGCCAGCTTACACCCAACAGCCACTCCTACATCGCGGGTTTCCTCCAGCTCTGCAAGTCCCGAGGGGTGAAGCCCAGCCTGGATCTATTCTTCCAGAGCTTTAACCTGTGCCGAGGGGGGCACGAAAACGGCGAGGGATACGCGAATTTGCAGCAAATCGCCCGTTTCAAACTATTCTTCGACGCCCCTTCTTCAAACAAAGGGTGGAGGGAACGTTGGTGTTATGTGAAGCTAGACGAGAACCCATTCCCGAGGGAACTGCGCGATCGATTCCGAAGGCACGAAAAGATCAGGAGTGCTGCCCTCGAGAAAGACGGCCTAAAGCTCGCCAAGTTTTCGGAAGGGAAGAATAAGAATGTGGCGATCAAAGATTGCACCCTTGAAGAAGACTTATACACCCTCGGGTTCCGAAGGTACCGCTTCATAGGGGAGACCGACGAAAAGTATCCTCTCTTTAACAAGGCCTTCGGAGGAGCCGGAGGTAGGAGCCGAGGGCTTTAGATTTTTGTACTTAGTCCCTTTTTTTGTTTTGCTTGGATGTCATTGTTCCTTCGCTGTAGACCCGTCGGCCTAATCCTTTGTCGTATTTTTGCAGGTATCCCCGTGGCAATGGTGAACGTGAAGGGCCTTGCGCGGCTGAAGAACAAGGACCCGAAGGGGTCGAGACAGGGTAAGCAGAAGCCCATCGCTACCCTCTTCAAAACATCCGAGGGCGATGCCGCTGCCAGCAAAAGGAAGGCGGCGGCCAAGGGGTCCCCCCCGGCTACCAAAAAGCCGAAGAAGGGGGATATCACCGATAAGGAGCCCCCGGTCATGATTGTTGATGAGCACCCCGCCTCCGGGGTGCATGTGGAGAAGCCATCGGATGGAACGCCGGCGGGGGCAGAGGAGTTGCTGCCTGAGGTCCTCCATGTTTCTCTTCCGAGGGGTACATCTCTGGCCAGCGGCGCTGTTGACCCGGGGGCCATCTTGAGGGGCATAACCCCTGAGACGGATAGGGCTGCCCTCGGGGCTTATAATGATGCGGCCCTCGAGGACCACATTCTCCGCTCCTCCCTCTCTGTAAGTGTTCACTCAGCTTTCTCCCTCTTTTCCTTTGATCATTTTGCGTGATTGCTTTTAACCGTTTTTGTTGTTGATCTGCAGGCTTGTCTAGCCCTCGGCGAACAGGCCCGGAGGCTTCAAGAATGGCGCCTCCATAAAGCGGAGCAGGACGCCAAAATGAAGGAGTGTATCCTCAAAAACAAAGAGGCGGTGAAGCTGGGGGCCAGGCTAGAAGAGGAGCTTCGGCAAATGAAGCTAAAATTGGAGGCTGCAGAAAAGAGCAAGGCTGATGCCGAGGCCGAGGATTCCAAGGCGCTAGCCGTCGCCAAGGCTCAGGAGGAGGCCGTTGATGCCTTCGTCGCTGAGGGTTGGAGAGCCGAGGGACGCAAGGTGTGGGTGTCCTCGGTTGTGGAGGCACGCGTTGATGAATGGGTCGAGGGCCCTGGGTGGGAATGGATGGCCCGGAAGGGCAGAGAATATTATGAGGCCGGCGAATTCTTCACCCAGGCCCTCATCTATCGGAGGATGGCCCGGCACCTGAGCATTGAGCCAAAGGATTTCGCTCCCTCGGCATATGGCCTTCCTCCCCTGCAGCCTGATGTCCGTGAATCCCTTCCCGAAGGTGTACAACGGCCCGATCTTGAGGACATAGAGCTGAAGAAGGAGGCCGAGGACGACGTTGTTGAGGCCGGGGCGGAGGTATCGTCGAGGCCGACTGCAGAGGACGCCCCGGGGAATGATGCTGTTGAGGTTGTTGAATGATTTGTACTTAGAAATTTCTGAACAAACTTTTGTAATGAACACCATTGATCCTTCGGCTTCGGCCTGTCTGTAATTTTGCACTTACTTCTGTTCTTGATGAATGCATGCTGCCTCCGGGCTTTTCACATTTGAATGCGCCTTATGTTTGAATGTATGCCTTCTCCTTTATGCTTTCCTCACGTATGAATGTATGGTGGTTTAGTGATGGCCGAAGGCCATGTTATTGGGACTTAGAAAATTTTTGTAAATGTAGTGTGTCATGTAGCCTTCGGCTACTGTGGA